CTGATAAACCTTGGTGCCTTGAACATCATTCTTTGGTGGGATTATCTTTGCAGGCTTATCGATCACATCAATGAGCTTTTCATGCATGAGAACAATTCTCAAATTTCTATACTAGTCATCAAAGTTTGGTCCTACCAACTTGTTGGTCTCAAGTATTTCACACAGTGATATAACAGACATATTGAGAAATCTAAAATATAAAAAAAAGAAAGGCAATAATATAAGAACATATTTGCATATATCATAAAGACATGGACTTTTATCTAAATGATATTTCCACTAATTATTTTAAACTATTTACCCTCATTATAGTTTACAAAATTTTTATTTCTGTTAGTGGAGTAAAGGAATCCTTTAACAATATGTATGAGCCCCTTGAAAGTCAAGTCGTTTCTCACATATATTTTAAAGGTAGGTACTCTTACCAATTGTATCCCCGTACAATTTCCTTAAGTAGCTCTATGTCAAATAGTCCCATGGTAGTCAGGTCGATCCTATTGGCATAGTTGAGTTCAACTATCATGATAGCAAAGAATTTATTAAATTTTATACTCCCCGGGTAGTCCAGACGTCTAGTAAAAAATTGAATAATTCTTTCAATCCATGCATCTAATGCAATAAATAATTTTAACATATTCTCGAACTATAAGTCTCCTGGTAGTCAGGCCGCTCCTTATAAACAAGAAATAAGTAAAATTATTTACTTTGATGGATAGCTCTATAATAAAATATCTTATAAGTACTTTATTATTTAAGAACTCAAATTTTAGTAAGAGGGAGTTGTTACTAAAACAGCTTTTAATAACATGAAGATCAAGTCTTTTATAGCATGCGAATTGGTTCAAGTTGTCTACATGCTTAGTCCTAAATTAATTTACATCACATGTAATAAATAATTCAAAATTATGTAATGAACAAGCACGTGACATGAAAACAAAATTTAACATTCTTCTAACATGTTTAATCTATATATCACATATATCACAAAAAAGTAATTCATGCCAGAATATCATTATTAATTAACATCTCATGAACTAATAACAATTAAAAATAACTATAGAATCATGTAACCTATTATAGATTTCCGTCGTATCTAATACAAAATTTTCAAATTCAAGTTATGAACTATCTCAATAGTTATATGAATACATATTTTATCCACAATAAATAATATCAACATTCAAACGATTTGACTATTGCACAAGACACATGTATTATGATTTGAACTCTTCAAATATAATATTAAAATATTTCGTAAATAAATTTTAGACACAATAAATTACGGCTCTGATACCACTGTTGGATTGCATATAGGTGTTCGTAACACGCAGTGGAAGACAATAACAATCCTAGGAAGATCTTTTCGTGTTTAAAATTTATTTGCATGTCAAAGATCGAATCTAAGACGTACCTGGTGAAGAGAGTCTCGTTTCAAAATTTCTTCGAAGTGCGAAGACTTTATGCGTGTCTACACCGTGACCAATCCTTGCTATCAACTCTTTGATCAATGAAACACGCGAACAAATTGAACGAAAATATTTTGTTGAAATTTTTCTCAAAAACTTCAACTTAAAATAGAAAGAACAAGAAACTAAGTTTTCTTGTCAAGAATATTTCTTGGTTTTGCGGCTTCTTAAAATAACTCGCTTAGCCACGTTAATTGGGTGAAGTCATATATATATAGAGAGAGAGTCACCAATCCTTTCCCTTTAGGTTAAAGGAAAAGACCAAGGCCTTTTCTCACGTGAAAACCAATTCAGTAGTTGGCCTTTTCCATAATTCTTATAAGTGAAAAATCAAATCCCATTCCTAATGGGAATTGCGTGATCGTCAAGTCCCTCTTGTGGACTTTATACGTGAGTCCAATTGTAAATTGGATTCACTAAATAGTCTCCATTAATCTTTATATATTTCTTATATATGTAAATATTAATTTTTATATATATCATATATATATTTCAACCAAGAGATATAATTTAATTTTCTATTCCAAGTAGAAAACTTTAATTTGTTCACAATATTAATTATATCCTCAGTGCTAGCGAAGAATATAATAATATTTCATTTGGACTAATAATTTTAATTATTTGACTAATTAAATTCTACAATTTAATTACCAAACAATAAAATAATTAATCCTTTAGCAAAGAGCAGAACACTCGTTAGTGTGCGACCCCATAGGTTCAATACTAAATCGGTAGTAAATTGATCATATCAATATACTAATCAAGGGTGGCGTCTAGCAACACTCCTTAACGACCGGATAGAATGAAGTATACAATTTACTCTCAAGAACCAGTAGAAGAATAATGTATTAATTCCTTCCGTCCTTATAGCTCCGAGTCAGCCTAGGATATGGTTCAACTGTCAAATCCTAATAGGTGACTAACTATGTGTTCATGTCAAATATAATCGACCATCGAATGACCTAAGAAACTCATTTCTTCTTTCATTCAATTGCCCTGGCCAAGGTCTTAGTTTGGTCGTTTATAATTCATGACAACATGGAGCTTAAACTCATTACCAAGAGTTGACAGATTCCATCTTGATCAATCACTAATTCTACAAGTATTTAATCGTACCCAATATCCTTTCAACTATCGCCCTAGGGCCATAGGTGTCTAGTATCAAAGCACAATAAATAACTTGTCAATTACTATGACGATCTCAGGTCAAAGGAAACTTTTACATCACATTCTTCAAGAGAATATCCTATTGACAGCTTATGGTAATTCTAACCATTAGGAATTATCCAATGAGTCGGTTCAATGATCATATCTCTATATGCATCATCTATCTATGTAATTTAGTTAATGAGATCAACTAATCTTTATCCCATAAAGACGATCACATAAATATTGATCTAACCGGATTACTAATGTCCAAACTAATAATCCTACGATCAAGAACAAATTTAGATTAAATTATAAGAAACTTTACTCTCATTATCATGATCTCCATCACAATATCAAGTCTCAAAATTTAATCAAGGACCTTATCAAATTAATCAAGCAATTAATAACAATGATAAAAGAATATCAAATGCCATATATATTTTATATCAAATAACATTCACAAAAATATGTTCAAATTTATCAAATATGATATTAGATCTAGGGCATATCTACTATATCCCTAACAGTTGTCTTATCTCTAAGCATATTATTTTCCCTCCTCTGGGCTCTAACTACTATTCTCTCTCTCTCTTTTCCTTCTCCTCTTCTGTCTTTTGTAGAATATTAAGAAATCAGGATAAAAGTTTCAATATAAAAACAATAAACAAGAGATGAGTGTATTAAACTAAATACTCTCCAGATTTCCATTCCTCTATTGAAGAAGATATGTGACAAGTTGTTGCAATTACTTTGAAGGGAAAAAAATAAAAAACTTTGCACCTTAGGGTAGAGTGGGGAAGAAGTGTTAGTAAGACATAGCTTTCTTATCATGGCAATGCCTTCCTTTGGAGTTGGCCCATAAGGCCGAAGTATAAAGAAAAAGAGATTGTGCTTAGCAGTGAAGGTCTAAACCAATTTATATTTCTGACTCATTAGCATAAAATTCAATGCACCTTTTTGTAATAGCAAAATAGTTGTGTATCGAGGTAACAGTTTAAGCTGTAGTGTTAGTAAGAATTGGAATTTTAATGATTTTCTGGTCATTACGAATTTATTGGTTTATTAACTATGTAAAGTATGAAATAGTAGGCATTCTATTAATTTAATAACATCATGAAACTCGTAACAATTTTCCCCTCTCTCTTGTTTTCTTTTTCTCACTTTTTGCCCACCGACCAGACTTATGATGAATGGTGTGGAAAGCAACTCCTTTCATGTTGCGCACATTCTCCTTCTTTTTCTTAAATCATAGTATTACAAATGACTAATAATGGCCAAAAAAACTTACTTGAAAGAATCCAACAACTTCATGATAATCTTACAAGTTTATGCATAAAATTGATCCATGATTTTAACTCAATAGTAGCGGCGGAACCACCTATTGACACCTCTTTGTCGAAAAGTGGTCAAATTTTGTTTGTATGTACAAAAATTGTCTCTTGGCATGTTTTTTCATAAAGGAGTGGAGAAAGTTGAAGAAAGGACTGAAAAGTTAGAAGATTTATATGTAATTTAGCCTATAAGGCTAAGGCTATAGCATAGTATTTATTATCCGGTGATGAAATATGAGAAAGTGATGTAATTAGAAATAGTAAAAAAGGTTACTTAATCATAATCCTGGATCTATCAAGCAATTCTTTTTCTCGGAAGAAACGAAAAAAGTTTGACTAACACATGTGTTTCTTTGGAGGTAAAATGAAAGACGTTGGATAAAGTTAAGACTTGAAGCAAAAGACGGTCTATCTCAACTACAATTTGGTGAAGTTGAAAAACAACATCTCTCTATTCTAGTTCTAGTAATAGTATACCCAACTCTAGAAAAAAGCAAGATTAATTTATTTTGATATTTTATTGTCCAGATATTACTTTGCTTCAACAAGGATATTTGCAAGATTGGTACTATATAATGAAAAAAGAAACAAAATTGCAAGATTAAGAATGCAATAGACAGTTTTGCCAAAGTACTTTCAGATAGTAACTAGTTTCTAATTTGTTTTCTTGTTTCATTGGACCAAAGAATTTTCAGATACTGAAAATTAGATGGTCTATTTTCTTTAAATGTCAATGAAGTGACATTCCGATAGAAAGGTGTCTGATATTTCAAGAATTACGTGACTTTGCACCTGGCAATCAATCATCTAGTGAAGGTTCTTTAATGCCAACAGTTTAAATATTTGTTCCTTGAGGAATAATATTTTCATTTTCGAAAAGTAGATAGATTCCCCTTGCTTTAATAATTTTTTACACAAGTTGGTCATCCAAGTCTTCAGGGTAATTTTTTACAGCAATTCCTAATATGAAACTAGCTACGTTTTAACAACTTCAAGTTACCTCCTACTGAATAATAAGTATATCGACTAAACAAGCCTACTGATTGGCCTTGAATGATGATAAATGAACTGAATTTGACAAGAAATATACATTATTATTCTCTCTTTGCCTTGGTCACTCCACTTTTGATGAAGGAGGTATAATGATTCAAGATGAAAAGCCGGCAAAAATGCACTCAACAGAGTTCCATTTAATATTGAATTTTGTCAAAGCACGTACAATCTCGATTTCCTAGTTCCTACATTTTCAACACCTTTTATCATCATCATCAATTTCAGCGTAAGAATGGTATAGCAAATTTGTCTCACAATGTCCAAGATGGCTTCCCTATGTTGCTATGACAGCCAGCAACAAATAAGATACACAACCAATGAGGAGATTGCTGCAGCCAAATTAGCCACCTTGCTCAAGGACTTGATGAACTAAACTGCCTCTACGGTGAATCCCCAAGTCACGACATCCTACAATGGGTGAGGATGAGGATCAGCGGGAAACAAGGTTACAAGGAAGCGGTGAATCATCTCAAAACTTGTAAATGTGATAACAGCTGCAGGGGTAGTCCGGATTAGGTTTGTCGCACAACCTCTGTAAAAGCCTTGGATTCCTTCTTGATGAAAGACTTTTTTAATGCAGTCAATTACACCAGAGTACCGCTTTTCAGAGTGGCGCCCCTGTTCTTGAAGCCTTGAACGTACTACCTACAACAGAAATTCCAACATATGATTTTGTGAATGTACATTTTTGTCACACACTCCATTCCCTAAGCTTTTCCCAGACACATAGTGAAGTGTCTCAACCATAACTTGACCAAACAAAAATAACAAAGCCTGAGAAGGGCAACAGAAACGAGAACACAGAGATGCCTTCCCGCCAGAGAGAATTTGGTAGTGCTAGAAATATATAATGAAAGCAGGGACGGAAAATAGAACATAAGGTATAAGTTGCTAGAATAACAAAATTTCATGTATCCGTAGAAGACAGTGTAACCCATTACTCCAATCCCGAAAAGTATAAAAAGAGGTAGGGAAGAACTTGACTTGCAATATTTCTGTAAAATTGTGGACCAAGATATCATATGGTATACCACTTTATGTTTCAGTTAACCGTTTAAACCCAAGTAACAATGCAACCACCGTAGCAACATACCTCATGTGGATATGTCAATGTAGAAGCAAATATTTTGGAAACTGATGATGCAACAGCAACATCCGGGGCCCCGAGTTTATCTGTTGAAGTGTTATCTGACATCATCACAATAAGCCAACACAATCAGATACGATGTCATCCTTTCTAAGTGGTGGGAAACCAAATAGTATAAAGATACTGAACTAACTAGAAGTGAAAGGAAACAATATGACCATAAGTGAGTAATCACCTCGCTTGGCCAAGTAAATCTTGATTTTCTCATAAGTTGGGAATTGGATGGCTACATGACTAACACCAGCCAAAGCAGGCACCAGACCGCTGTCCGCCACAAAGCAATACAAGTCAGCTAAAACAGTGGTAGACAAATAATTTGGAACATTACGAGCGATAAATTTCAAGAAAGAAAACCACTGACCTGTACAACCCACGAATGCCCTCTTCACATGCTATTCTCCTTAAAGCAGATAATGTACCCCTGTAAGGCTCAAGACCTGCTCTTATTCCTTGAGTCTACAGAAGGTTAAGGCAAATGAATAAGGGTGAGAATATGATTAATGCTTTGCTTGGTGAAGTGCATCCAGAAGCATATCTTTGGTAAACACATCTTTAACAATTATTAGACAGCATAATTAATTGACAATACCGATCCAGCATAAAAAGATCCTTTCACATAATTTTTTTCACAAGTACATATACATTATTGGTCAATTACATGGTGTAAGAATTCTCACTGCTGCACTAGCTACATTGTCCCCACAAAATAATAAAACACTGAAGGTCATGGAATGTTGTACTTCTTGGCTCTTGCCGATATAAGCCCTCCAACTTAGGCAAGACAATGAGGCCAGGCCATGCAGGTGAGGAGTTGGGCTTAGCTTCGCTAGCAATATGCCTGCCCGGGATGCCTAACCTATCCTCCTGTGAATACCCAAGATGCGCACACTCGCATTTTCTGACTTTAGAGCAAAAGTTCTGCTGTGTTTGGTTTTCTTCTTAACATTTAAGATCTTGAATTTCATTTATTCAGTGATTGCGAAAGTCGCTAGTGATACCTTCGTAACTCCATATGACCTCCTTTCCCTAGTATTCCACTAAATTTTACAAAGAAAATAAGAGATAGACAGTCAAGGTAGCCAGCAACTGGTGGAGTATAATGGGTGAGATGGCAGCTGACTGCGCCTAACAATACTGGCAATGGTTGAATTATTGATGGTGAAGTGGCAAGAAGAGCAACTACAACCGCAAAGTAGAGGTAGGAGACTACTTTTTAGTTGAAATGCTAACTTTTAAATGCAGCTTTATCTTGTTGGCCCAGACCCAACCCGCCTGCGCCCTATGGTACTGGCCCACCTCTGCCCCCATGGCCTTATGTGGGGTGGTGAATCTGGGGATTCACCTGTCCCATTGGCATCTCTACTCCAAGCACTTGCTATAACAAGCAACCATGAACTACATAAATATTGCCTATTTTTCAAAAGATGGTGGTGTCCGTGTTCTGGCTTGATTGCACGCTCCTTGACTAATTCGTCGTGTACCTGCTACTTCCCACACAGGCAACTCTGTCTACCAAGTCTTAGACAGATCAGAACCCGGAAGAATACATCTAATCTAATGTCGCCTCTACTCGAATTCAGGGGTTGGACCCAAAGTTGTGACTCCAATTCAACTAGCTACCCCTTGGGGAGAAAGAACGTCTATCACTCAGTCAAACTTATAAAATGCAAGACAGCTTATGAGATCTTCAAGGCATATCAAGACATTAACCTGATTAAAACTAAAAAGACTAACCCATATGGGCATGAAGTACTATTTCCAGTTGAACTTCAGTGAAATATTGAAATAGCGGTTTGGTTTGAATGTCATTCAAGTGAACTATTTCACTAACAGATCTTCAACTTTCACAAACTTCTTTTCCGACTGAAGTTCAAACTTCCACAATTTTTTTGACCAACTTCAACTCAAATATTGTGCCAACGCCTGCTAAACCACAAAAGGACTGACAACTAGGCCAACTTAGCATTGCAGATTCAATTAAAAATTGTTACAGCAATTGTGTTCGTCAAAAGGAGAGATGGTTTGCATATTTCTCCACCCCACCCCCCACAACTACTTCACTCTTCGGGATTTTTGTTATGACACATCAGGCCAAAATATGTTACAAGAATCAAGTACGAATACATGCACACAACATTCAAACTTGGGGAAACTTCAATAGTAAAAATGATAAAAATAACAAAAACAACTGGGACACACAACCATTCAGAAGCAAGGAGAAGAAAGTATTGACCAGGAGATCAAATTCTATGGAATACCCAAAAGCAGAATATTGAAGAGGAGCGAACCTAAAGCAATTAGATCCCAACTGAAATAGAACAACACTGTATTGCACAGATACTCATCGGTCCATCTATTTCCATTAGTCAGCGACAAGCGCGCAAAGGTCATCCGAGGACACAAATGCACAATGGCATTATTAGGTGTACAACTCCTAGAGTATGTTATATAGCAGTACCACCTTGAGGCAGTTTGTGTAGGCCAGCTGATCACCTTTGTCAGATCAGTTAGTGAAGCAAATGTGCCATAAAAGCTAAAATTACACTCCCCTCTTTCAGTTAGTTACTAAAAACAAGGAGATAGAAACATTGACACATGTTCCGTACAAGAACTCTTTGTTTTCCATTTTCCCCTTGTAGGATAAGGGAAAGCCACATTGGTACATTCTTTCTCCTGAAATCATTCCCCTTCCATGACCAATTCTACATTTATTATAAGAATTCAGAAGGCCCTTCCAGCTGCTTTATTAAATGTAGTTTTTTGACAAAATATTGTTCCACTCCATACTGCAAAAGTTGATACCAAACACTTTAACAAAGTCGTCCTAGAGTCAGATCCAGCTTTGGTTTAAAGGATTATTAGCAACATCTTTACCTCTTTCACCAAGCCACACATATAAGAAGATCAAGCTAAATATCAAAATTTGGATGCATAAATCACACCTGAAGACGCGTCTTGACAACCCAGAGAGGATTTGTCGCAATTGTGGTTGCAGCTCCAGCACCGGAAGCAGCTAACATGTTTGCACCTATTGAGAGCTGATGACTTCCATCTATAACAACCACCGAACAAAAAGTTTTTACCACTAAGTGCAATGTAGTTTATCAAAAATTAATTTGAAAAGTAATCAGTCAATGGAAAAACATCTTTGAGGAAAGTAAGGTCATCTACTGACCATCAGAGCCAAGAAAGCTTTTCAGCTGTTCATATATAGTAAAATAGACCTGCAGAAAAGGAAAATATGTTTGAGATCACTCTTGCAATAAACTTGATTATTTCTCTAGGAAATCGAGGAAAATTGTGATCAAATCTTTAACACTAAGTGCATAAACACCATAATGTAATAAGAATTAAAGTCCTTATCAAAACAAAATACGTAATAAGAATTGAAGCAAGAAATTTCAATTTTAATTAGTGAAAGAGATAAGTAATTGTAAGCCTCCCTTTCTTGCCATGTGTGACTGGCACTTAAAATTGATTAAACGATATGCCAATATGAAAGGAATGCAGGAAACATTTTTAAAAAGACCTTTCCGCTGGAACTCAATAGAACTCAGAAAATTCAGATGCACTGGGAGAGTGTTCGAATTAGCTTACCCAATCCATTTGCCCATATGAACAAAAAAGAACGGGACAAGGATTATGACTAGAAGCAAAAGAATTTGAAACGACAAAATGACCATCATTTCTTAGAAAAATACCTTTCCGTAAAAGCAGTTTGATCTTTTTTTTTCTTCCATATCCCTCTCCTACTTCTATGCTCTCCACTGTTTTGGAACCACATTCTAATTTCTGATTTTGGTAAGCAAATCAACCAATCAACCCAAGATAGTTGGGATCCGCAATACGAATCTTTTGGAGAACTTCTCGTTATAAGTAAGCAAATAATTTATTACAATAAAGGCAAGGACTAAGATACTGCTGGACAATAATAATAGTTGTTCTCTCACTTACATAGTCAGATCAAGTTTATAACGAGCTATTGTAGGGGCTGTCTGTTTTTTTTTTGTACTTTTGTGTCCCTTCTTGGTACCTTATTAATAAAACTTTTACCTTCTCAAAAGAAAAAGGTTATACGAGCTATGGAAATCTATCCTAGCATCCTCTTCATATACATAATGCAAATTTTACCTGAACATTAACAAGCTAAGACATTTATTTTTTAGAATAAAACAGCTAGATGTAGCTTTACCCTAGAAGCAGCATTACTCCCCTCCCTTCCATAACACCCAACACAGACGAGGTGGAATGTTTCTCCAAATCTGTCAGTTCCATTTTCATCTTATATCCTCTCCAGCCCCCAAATGCTTCTTTGACAGTCTGTCATATTAACCATTTCGTCCCAAAATCGTCTAAAAACAACTCCCACAGTTGAGTTGCAAACTGTTAATACAAGAAGAAGCTTTTCTCTGTAGTAGTTAAGTGAGATATGCACCCAACCAAAGCAAGTCACCTTATAGGAAGCTTTAGTTTCCCATGATATTTTCCAAGACCACTGTAGTATATTGCAATTTCCGTACATAAGTTTTTGATAAGGTTTGTCAGGGATAAATTATGTACATCTCCTGTACATAAGTTATGATAAATGACTTCATACTAATCAAACCATTTCTTTTGGCAGTCCATATCAAAGAATCTGAAGCCTCAGAAAGTGTTTGCACATCTCCCAGGTTTTCCAAACTACAATCATCCTTTCAATCTCCCATCCTAGCAGCCCCCTCTAAAGCATACTTCTCACCGGTCTCCAATTTTCATTAAGCTATAGTTATTCTGTGTGTAGTGTGTAAGGCAATGCTGTACAAGCCTGTGAATTTATCTTTGCTGAAGAATATCGTAACCATTCATCCTGTCAAAACAATTGATTCTTCTACCCTCCCTTGCTTTTTCATTGTTATAGAATTCAAGCTGAAGTTTTCTTATTTGTTTCCAAACTCCTACTGTAGCAATTTCATCAAAAGAAAGGGAACTATGCAGAGCAACTGACTGCTTTGGTGCACCATGAATCTTATTCACCAAATTTTGATTGTACTATTTTTCTCCTTAGTACCTTCTCCTCCTTGGTGTATCTCCACAACCATTTGAAGAGCCAACTCTTGTTGTGAATTTTTTAGTTTCTAGCTCTAATCCTTCTTCCTTCTTGCTTAACATTACTGTCTCTCGCTTTATTGAAAACATTTCTTTACCTTGTTACCATCCTGTAAGAAATTCCTTCTGCTGCTATCCAAATTGATTAAGACCTTAGAAGGTAATGGAAGCAGTGACATCATATAGGTTGGCAATGAGTGCAGTATACTGTTTATGCTACTATCTAGCCTCTTAGAGACAAGAAATTAAACTATATGCAGAACAGCAGCTATACTACTCGTGCATTTAGTTTAGCTTCAGTCCACCTAAAGTATGCATTACTCGGGTGTTAGTGTTACATTACACAACAAATACTCAATGGAAACAAACATACACCATCTTTTCTATGTTTGACCACCAGCATGCACACAGCCAATGGAAGGGATTTGGAAAAGCCATCATAGGTTGCTCAGGATGACAAGAGAAGCTATGTAGATTTGGTTTTGATAAACAGGTTAACTGTCATTTATTTTTTAAAATTTTTTATTTTTTTTGAGAAAGAGAATGTATATATAGATCTATATATATTGTGTGATATTAACCAGAAGGAGAAAAAGAGAAATAACAAAACACAAAGCAAAGGTGAAAATGACAAGCGAAATGTTGATCAACCACTCAATCAACTACATCTCAATCCGAAATTAGATATGCTCGGCTATATGCCTCTATATCCATTCACTTATTTGTAAGGTTCAGTAATAGAGGTTTCCACTAGAACAAGATCAAAGGCTTCAGCTGAGTAACAGCTTTACGACAAGAAGTCAAATCAAAAACAGAATTTCACAACAAATTCAGGAGGATGGATTTCAACAAGAAGAAAAGGAGGACAAGTCATGGACTAAACCAAATATGTGACACATTAGAACAAAGAAGCTCAAATTAGATTTCATTGTGTCACACCAAATAATAGACAGTAAAAAGAAGGTAAGACAATATCTTGGGTATATAATCATGCCCTAAGTGCACAGAAATAAAGTATAAACTTATCAAAATCAGGTGAAATTTTGGGGAGTTATTGCAGAATGACATGATTTAAATATGTCGGCAAAAACAGGCCCAGTAAACCAAGAATGACGTAGGAAGAGGACAATCATGACCTAAGAACAGGATATCAAAGTCCAGTAAACTTCAACTCCCTTATCAACCATTTACAAAAAGAGAGAAGAATAAAAAGTTAAAGCACAGAAGCTGAGAGAGAGATAGAATGTAAGTCAAAATTAGGAACTATGAGATGAAACAAAAGCTATGTAGTAAACAGCTCTTGCTCTATCCAGATAGAACAATAAAGAGACTTAACCAGAAGTTAGCATGAAAATGTGATGCTAAAGTTAAAATTGAAAAGTAATATGACTCACCGCCCAGTTTGGAAGTAATGCTAGCACTGTTGGGGAAAGCCCTCTGTACATTCCACGCAGCCCCTCCCTTTGAAATATCTGCTCTAAACTCCCAACTATAAGACTACCTGATTAGAAGAAGAAACAAAATCAGATGCCTCTGATATTCACCTCATAAAATTCGACTGATCTTTTCATGTGTTTAACCGTAACTTGATGGTAGATGATTATCAGTCGCAATACAAGCCAGCATAAGTGTCAGTGGTGGATTTACTATGACCGCAACAACTGCTTTCCACCCGAACTATATATTCTAGTTGAATCATTTTTTAAAATATATAGTGGGTTAAAAATCCAACAGGATGTGGCATGTAAACATCACAATCAAAAGTGTACCTACAAAGCTGCTTGGTAGGAGAACTAAAAACCTCAACTATATCAAGAATCATTTTAACATATCAAATAAGGCAATTACCTCTAACGTTAGCATTTCCTAGCTTTGGCAACCCATGAACCTGCAACCTAGTCTTGATAACATCTAAAGGGCACACAAATGTAGCCGCTATAACTCCTGCAACATATTAATTGAGCAATCCAATTCAGTGTATGCCAAATTCCAAACTAATCAATCAGACATAAAAATTCCATGTCCATATATATGTTTTAAACATATCCACAAGAAGCCCAATTAGAATTTGATGGTCAATTGGGGAAACAAATAGAGGATTAAATAGTAAGTAACAAAAAAGTATTTTCTTCTTTTTTTAAAAAAATTTACCAGCAGCGGCACCAGCACCAGCATTGCAAAGTAGGCCTTTAGGAGTAGGGCCATGAGTATCAGCGGCCATTGCTATTGCTAAATCTAGGGCAATTAATTACAAAGGAAAGAGCAGCTGCAGAGATAAAAAAGACTTGAACTTGATTCTTAAAGTCCTCTTTTAAGAGGGAGATCGTACAGAACCACAGTCGCATGGCCAGTAGGTATAACTCCAAATAACGAAATTTCACCACTCACTCACTCGCCAAATTGAATTGCCCGCAAAACAAGTTTTCCATTAAAGGGGCAATTCAAGATTTAATTTTTCACAAGAGGGATTTCGTTTGGCTACGTTGGTTGTTGATTGACGATGAGATCAAGAATCTGAAATCGCCATGCGGGGTGGTCCAATTTGGCAGCTCTCAATAAGGGGCGATAAGGTCAGAAGATGAGATTCATATACGGAGTAGAGTATTTGATTTGAGTCCGAAACCACCCACCCTCTTTCGCAAGCTTGCAATGTCATCGACCACACAATGACTCAAATGGGTCCACCTACTAGCTTTTGACTTTTGATTTATTTTTATCATTTTAACTTAAAAACAAGTGTTTAAAAAATATTTTTTTATTCTATTCAAACACTACAAAATACCTTAAAAATTATTTTAATTTAAAAGCATTTAAAATAAGTCAATCCCAACACAAATTTTCTTCTTTTTTTTTTCTCGTCGGCAACAAAAAGAAGTAGCAGTATCAAAATGCACTTTTACTACTTGTACACCAACCTACCCTTCACTCTATTTTCAAATGTTACCCAAATCTTCTCCTAATTACGAGATACTCTGTTTACTATGGGCAAAGATCTAAATTTGCCCCTCAATTATGTAAATCAATCAGATTTTTATTCATTTATAGTTGAGATCAAATTTACCTTTGCCGGCTCTAGACAATGTAACCTCTTTATTGACGATATTTTCTTCACATTATTATTATTTCGTTATTATCAACTAGTAGCTCATTTTGCTCTTGAAAAAGTGTACGGTCAAAGGTCAGGAATTGGGAAAGAATTTGGTGGTCATGGGGGCTTGGAGAAATAGCAGTGATGCTGAAAGCATATGGTTTAGAACAACTAGTTGTATTAGAGAAGCAGCTAGGGAGGTGATGGGGTTTCGAATGGCAACTTTGGCCGACATCAGGAGATTGGTGGTAGAATGGTAAGGTCCAAGGGAAAGTGAAAGTCAAGAAAGTTACTTATGCGAAGTTAGTGGAGAGCAAAAATGAGGAGAATATGAGGACGAATAGGGAGGTGTATAAGACAACAAAGAGGGAGGCAAAGCTAGTAGTTACTGTGGCTAAAACGACAATGTTCGAGGGCTTGTATGCAGAACTTGAGGACAAAGGGGGATAAGAAATTGTACATGCTAGCCAAGACGAAGGAGAGGAGGCCCCGAGACCTAGACCAAGTGAAGTGCATCAAAGACGAGGAAGACCATGTTTTGGTAGAAAAGGCACGCATTAGACGGAGATGGCAGAGATTTTCATAAATATGTGAATTAAGGGGGACAGGAACATCGTGCTAAGTGACTTGGAATACTCTGAGAGTCGTCGGGACGTTGGGTATTGCAAGTGTATCAAGGTCGAGGAGGTTGAAAGGGCTATGCATAAAATGAGCAGGAGAAGAGCGGCCGGGCCGGAGAGATCCAGTTAAATATTGGAAGAGGGCGGCAGAGCAGGTTTGGAGTGGCTGACTTGGTTGTTCAATGTCATTTTCAAGACGGCGAAAATGCCTGAAGAATGAAAATGGAGTATGATGGTCCCAGTATACAAGAACATATATTCAAAATAACAGCAACTATAAAAGTATCAAACTGCTAAGACACACCATGAAAGTTTGAGAGAGTGCAGTGAAAATGAGATTGATGAGGGGTGTGTCTATTTTCGAGAACCAGTTCGAATCCATGTTGAGGTGATTGACTATGGTAGTCATTCACCTTGTGAGGAGACTGTTTGAACAGTATATGAAGAGGAAAATGGACTTACATATAGTATTCATCAACCCAGGAAAGGCATATGATAAAGTCCAAAGAGAAGTTATTTGGTGATGTATGGATGTTGGAGATGTACCCGTAGCGTATATTAGGGTGATTAAGAACATGTACGATGGGGCCATGACCCAGTTGAGGATAATGGACGGAGACTCTGGCCACTTTCCAGTCTCGATGGGATTGCACCGAGATCTGCCCTTACCCCATTTTATTTCCCTGGTGATGGATGATTTGACGTGACACATCCAAGGGGAAGTGCCTTGGTGTATGTTATTTGCAGATGACATAATATTAATTAACGAGATGAGGGGCAGTGTTAACACTAGGTTGGAGGTTTGGACACATAACCTGGAGTTTAAGGATTTAGGTTGAGCGGGACTAAAATAGAATACCTGGAGTGCGAGTTCAATGATGTAACACAAGTCATTCCGAAGAGAGTAAGTTCAAGTATCTTGGGTGTATAATCTAAGCTAATGGAGGAGATTGACGAGGATGTCACTTACCGTATTAGGGCGGGTGGATGAGACAAAGGCTCACATCCGGTGTTCCGTGTAATAAGAATATGTCACATAAACTTGAAAGTAAGTTCTATAGAGTGGCTGTTAGGTCGACTATGATGTATGAAGTGGCCAATCAAGAGCTCTCATGTCCAGAAGTTGCAAGTAGCGGAGATGAGGATTCTGAGATGGATGTGTGAGCATACTAAAGAGGATAGGATAATGAATGAAAGCATTCAGGACAAGGAGGGAGTGCCCTCGTGGTAGACAAGTTGGAGGAAGCGAGGCTCACATGGTTCGAGCATATAAAGAGGAAATGTCCAAATGCCCCAGTAAGAAGGTGTGAAAGATTGGCCATGGTGGGTATACTAGAGGTAGGCCTAAAAAGTATTGAAGAGAGGTGATAAGGCAAGATATGGCACATCTTAAGCTTACCGAGTACATGACATTGATAGGAAGGTGTGGAGATCGAGAATTCGGGTAGAAGACTAGTAGGTAGTCGCGAGTGTATCCTTTTCTTACATGTAGGATCAATAGCATTCTCATATTTTCATATACTTATACCTGTATTATTACTTGTTATTTCTTTGCTTCATTTTTCTTATTATCTTGATGTTGTTGGTATTGTTTTGTGTTACTGTTTCCTCTCCATAGTGTATACATTATTATTTTCTTGTTAACAAATGATATGACTATGTTTCCCCTGAGCCGATGGTCTATCAGAAATATCCTCTCTATCTTCACAAGGTAGGGGTAAAGTTGCATATACACTATCCTCCCTAAATCCTACTTGTGGAAGTACACTAGATTTGTTGTTGTTTGTTTGTTATTGGATTATGTGACTATAAACGACCACCCAAACTAGCCACTATAGATACTGCTAAGAATCTATATGGCTATATAAATGTTGTTGTCGCACATAATACACAACATTTACTCATCTTGAAAAATATAAAGTCTACAGTTAATTCACAAAAAGAAAATTGTATGAATACGTACAACATATTATTTACCCGTAAAATGATACAATTAAATTTGTATGTGGTTTATAGACAAGCGAATCGATTTGATCCCAAAATGATAAATAAATTAAATAAAATACAAGACTTAGCGTTGAAATCGAGATCAGACAGCAAGTAGCTTGGATCCTGGAGCAAAACTTTCGAAGGCAGTAATAAGAATATCAATAGATAAGAAATAAAGTGTTATTGAGAGAATAATGTGTAGCATAAGTTTGTCAAAAGATTCGTGTCCTTTACAATGGCAGTTGGAGTCACTATTTATAGTTGCACCTAGGGAATAAGGTCCTAGGATCAATCCCCTCTTAAATGACAATTATGGGAGCATTGGTGAATGTGTAACGTCAGGCTGTGTATTTAATGCTGCAGAATATTCTTCATTGAATGTTATCGGGTGGCAAATATTCATTTGTCTTCATTAGCAATATTCCCCTCGGGATCTTCCTGGTGCCAACCGAAGTTGCTGCCCCTGGTCTTGGTTTCAACTTGCCTCGCTTTCCATCCGTCCCCAGTTCCACATGTCATCTATTATTCGAGTATTTAATAGTTATCCTATGCAAATAGTCCCCATGCTTTCCGATGGCACATCTTTGTGTAATCGAGAAGTTGGTGAAGATACCTTTCTTGGCGGAAAATTTTCTAATCCCTCTGAAAAGTTTCTGACGCTTGATTAGACGCATGTCTCTCCACATCTAATGCACCAAATAGGCATCACTCCACGATTTAGCAATACTTTTGCTGGTTCTCAAGGTAATTGTAGCGCCCCGAAAAAAGTTCCAAAATGTTATAAGGTCACTAAGAGGTCCGACGTGTGCTGATAATATTAATTAATATGTGAGTGTTAATTAATAATATAAAAAATATTTCATGAACATGATATCAATTGTACGAGGTGTATTTAGTGATATAGGACCTAAGGAGATCCCTTAGGACAAGTCAAGTTTGAAATTACATGATAAACTAAAGTTTCAAATGAGCACGCGTAAGATCTAGCTTTAGACAAGCATATCTCGATATATATAAGGAGTTACATGGTGAACAACCTATCAAGTGAAAGATCTTTGAGTCTAGATTCCAATTCTTCAAACCGTTTATTATTTTAACATTTCTACAAGAAGATATAGGTATTTTAGTAAAAGGTATCCAGCATAAAAAAACTTGGGATACGAGGTACAACCTGCACAGAGCGAGGTACAGCTGGCGATAGCACTTGCACCTATATTAATAGCATCGCGGGCAGCGGCTCATTTTTAGGAATTTTGAGCTAAGATTTGGTGCTTTCATGGTGGATTCGACATTTGGGCCTACTTAAGAATACAAGGTGAGTTTTTATGGATGTTTTAAGTTAATTACATCCTATTAACACTAGTATTAACATCATTCAGTCTTTGAAATCCCTAGAAATGTTTCAAGTTGTTCGAGAACACCAAATTTTCTAAACATTAAATTTTTGGGGAAAAGCTTCAAGAAGATAATTCTAATACTTCAAACTCATTTCTTATGAGTCGGTGAGAGTAGTTATAATATTTGTTTCAAGTTGTTATGGTTGGGTAGTTGATTTTCTAAACCCTAGTTCATGATATAAATAGTGTTCTTGTTAAAATAAGGGGAAGATAAATAGTTTTCTTAGATATAAAAAAAATGTATGCAATGAACCTCTGGAATCATTTGCTAGCTAAATTGGAAGTGTTCAACTGAGTAATCACCAACTTGAATATTTTAGGAATGTTGGTTAAGGAAGACGGTGAATAGCAATTTGGTGGTGTTGGAAAATAAATGTAGTATTATTGATGACTTCAAATGGGTATTAAAAGTGAACCTATTGGACGATTTGAGTTGGAGGCTTGTAGCAAACTTGTGAGTCATAAATGGATAATGATAAATATTTTTGGTTATATCTTGATTGTAATTGGTCCGGCCCTTCCCTGGACCCCGCGCATAGCGGGAGTTTAGTGCACCGGGCTGCCCTTTTTA